GCTCCTGGTAGTTTAAAAAAAAGCCCCTACTCAACAGGTGCTTCCAGGCAAGGGGGCAATCCCCACTGCCCCACGCCACATAGGGGCCTCTGCCATGAGGCCCCTGACCCTTGCCTGCTGTCCCAGCCCCTCTCCATGGCTGACCCACCTGCCCCAGCTCCTGGCCCCTTAAAAAAAAGAAAAACAAAAAAGACCCCAAACTCACCAGCTGCTGCAGCGGCCTTGGGGCTTCTGGAGGCTTGTGGAAGAGCCCTCCATGCAGCGTGGGGCAGTGGGCAGCAGCCGATGAGTCAAGGGTTTTTTGTTTTTGTTTTTTTTAAAGGGCCGGGAGCTGGGGCAGGCAGGGCAGCTGTGGTGGGGGCTGGGACAGCAGGCAGAGGTCGGGGGGCTCATAGCAGAGCCCCCACATGGTGTGGGGCAGTGGGGGGAAGCAGGGATCACCCGCACCCTGCCTGGCAGCTGGTGAGTGCAGGCTTTTTTTTTCCCCCTTTCAAAGAGCTGGGAACTGGAGTCAGGCAGGGCTGGGAGAGTGGCGGGAGCTGTGCGATTCGGAGATTCAGATGATCTGGCAACAGCCGAATCTCTGAATCAGATTCAGCAGAATCGATTCGGGACAGTGATTCAAATCACCAAATCGAATCATTGACCCCTGAATCAGCCAAATCTGAATCTGAAGCAAATACTAGCCGCCTTGCACAGGCCTATAGGAGACATCACTAGCGCTCTCTAACCTTTGCTTTAAGTGGGAAGATGAGATGTGACAGGGATTATGAAGGACAAGTTCACAGCAGAGCCCAGCTCAATTACACTGAATTATTCACTGCTTTAAGTCCAATGTATGCCAACAACAGAAGTTTGCCTAGCACCTGGTGCTCCAGTTTCACTGGAGCTGGGTTCTAGGAAGCAAGTTGCTGCAACCACCACCAATGACAACATCCAAATGCTGCACAGGGAAAAGTGAACAGAAGCAATGAGTGGTTCACAAAGCTCATCAGTAATCCCTAACTAATACTTGACTCCACTAAAGCCAAACAAAAGAACCAGGGGTCTTTTCCAATGTACTGGGCCCAGTGCAACTGAAATACAGTACAGAAGCTGACATAATGCTTCCACTAAAAAAAAACAAACAAAAAACACAAAAAAAAACAAAAAACAAAAAACAAAAAAACCCCAGCAAATTTAGGACATGCTGCAAATATCTAGTGCTTAATTACTAAAAATTATCTTTTCTCTCCAGAATTGACACTGACACTGAGGTTACATGTTTATGGCTGCTCTTGAGACCTGTCTGCAGCATGCTTGAAAGAGGCCCTATCTAGTCAGAAAAGCAAGATTTAATTTAATATCTCAACCTGGGCCAACCTGTCAATGTTTTGCTTTGATAAACACTCTGGACTTTATTTTGCAATCCTTACATAAACAAAACACACTCTGAAGTCAATGGGAATTTTGTTTCAATCAAAATTCTTGATCAAGGCTAATTTTCAGTAACCTTAATTATGACTCAAAAGACATTTTCAAAATTCACTCCTATTATTTAGAACTATAAGTACAAAAAATCATAATTGCAACTTACAGCTTCCAAATTTGAGAGGACAAGCATGACCATCCATTGGAAAATCCACTAATCTCATGGGACACTCAGCGCTGATAGTAAGTCTATAATAGAAAAAATTGAATATGCTTTGCTTGGTATTTTGTCTAGGCAGAATCACTTTTATATAGAGTAATTATAAGAAGCTAAATACTTAAATTGAATACCTCATTGTATATAAGATAGTGCCATTTCTCATTATTCTAAAGAGTTTATTTGGGGCTGTCATATTATGAGAGACAGATTTTTTCCCATTCCTGAAGAAAGTGTCAGGTGTCCACACTTTTGAAACCATCAAGTTATTAAGTCTTAAAATTTCAATGGGACCATCATATTTCAATCTTTTGTCCACCCATGTCTGACGGAAGAAGACATCCATTGTATATTCCTGTATTGAATCATCAAAAAAAACAGAGGTTGCATTTATGGTTCCAGGAGAAAAAAAAACTTTTAGGGGCAAATAAGTCACAAGTGAAGTAAGTGTTGTTCAGTTAACTACACAAATATATTTCTAGCGATTAAAGTGAATTGTGTACTTCTTAATAGCTTAATTTGCCACATTAGTCATATAAATAAATTGCTAGACATGTTTAATCGTTAGGAATAATTACTATAATCTAATAAAATTGCAGGAAGCAGGCAATTAAGTTTTGTTCTCTGGCATATAACTGGAAACAAAATGATGAAATGTGATAACAAATGTCAAAGTATTTTTTAAAAGACAGATATAAAGGGATTTTTTTTTAATGATGGACACATTAAATAATCAGGATAAAATATTTGTTATATTTCACCAAAATCAAGAAAAGAATCATACATCTAATTTCAGTTGACAAAAACATGTGGTTAACTGAAAAAGAATCAATTATTCTTGTGTAATGTCTATAAAATGCGCATAATATAGACTTGCCCTTAACACACTTATACCTGTATTTAAATATAAGTATAGTCCTACTGACTTCCTAATGACCTCAGCAGAACTGTGCAGATACTTAAAATTAAGTATGTGTTCAAGTGTTTGCAAGATTTGAGGCCATGAATGTCATGAGAAAGTACACACATGAATGGACATGTGAAAAAAATCTGTTTACAAATTCATTTACGTCTTGCAATATCAAAGCACTTTACAAGCGAACTTGCAAGTAGACCAATGCAAAACAATACCCTCTAGTTACTTCTAGTAACCCCCTCTTGTATGTTAAAACATGGTACTATTCTTCTAATCTGATTTCTTTCTGTTCAGTGTTCTTCAAAAGTGAACTGAATGCATGGGAAGTCACATTTGCCTTTTTCATAACCATATCACATTGGTAGCTATTGGTCTATACACAGCTATCATAGATAAGCTGTGTCTATCACTCCAGTCTTCAAGGTCATCTGATTTTTTTCAGTATGTTATTCCTATTCTCTCCTGTATTGGTGATACCACGCAATATTCTGTACACTACTATCTTTTGCACACAGATCATTAATAAAAAAAAATAAAGTCTGTCTCTAGATCAAGACGACATGAGAAACTCCACTAGTAATCTCTCCTCCATCCCATTAATTTCTCTTTCAGCCCCATCCGCTGCCAGTTCCTTACTTTACCATTCTTGTACATATCCCACCTTCTCCAGATTAACCAAAAAATTCTCCATGTGGCACCATTTCAAATATTCTACTGAACTCCAGATAGATCACACACATATACATATACATATACACACCCCTCATTTCAGGGCTCAAATGTATTTATTATTCAAATTTCTTGGGACCATATTCTGTTATCCATAGTCATGTTGGCTGCTTATAACCATAAAAATAACCCAAAAAATAACGCTTTACTTTAAGACACCGAGCACAGTGCATGCCCAAACTAAGTATTGCATTAGCTTGAACCTGGCTCACCCAACATCTGTATACATTAGGCACTTCAATGGGGCTTTTTGGTGCTTTTATCTAACAGCTGATTGAATAAGCTATTAGCTGATTAGCTGACTGAATCAGCTTTAGATAGAAGTGCCAAAAAGCCCCACTGAAGCACCTGATCTATAAAAGCACTGGGGAGCCGGGTTGAATGAATGCACTTCCTCATCTAGTAAAGCACTGGGTTGTTTGGTTTTGTTTTGGGGGGGGGTTGGGGGGGGG